TCAATTCAATCCACTTCAACCTAGGATAAATTTCAGCTACTCCATTGAAACAACTTTCTATTTCTCAGCTTCCTCCCCTTTAGTAGTGTTAATAACACTATCTATTATGCAGGGGTTTTTTGGGGGTGGGGGGAGATTGAATATGTTAATAACTATACGTAAAGAGTTTAGAGCAATGTATGGCACATAGTAAGTGTTCAATAAGTGTTAGGTGGATTGTTATTATTAACATTCTCCTCATCTTCAATGTCATTAGTGAAATTCTTGTTGCTAAATCCAGTGAGCACTTTCCAGTTCCTACTTGACATCCTTGTGTTGACCACTTCTTCCTTCTCAAAACTCCCCTTCCCTCAGCTTCCATGAGCCAGACTCTCTCAGTTGTCATCCTACTCCTCTGTATTGCCTTCTTAGTCAGCTTTGTCTGACCTACCTCAGTCTGCCTTAAATGTGGCTGTTCCTCAGAGTTCTCTTTTAGACTCCATACTCTTTTTTATCTATGTACTTGGCTTAGTAAAAGTATTCACTCTTGTGCTTTGAATTACTATTTATATGGAGATGCCCAATACTCTGCACCTCATTCATTTACTTATTTAACAAATATTTATAGAGCATCTTCTGTGTGCCAAATACTGGGATTACTATTCTGAGCAAATACTGACAGGGTTCTGTTCTCATGAGACTTAGCCGTTAATGGGGAACACAAACATCAAACAAATAATCACACATACAGATCTACAACTATAGATTAATTAATTGCTCCAGAGAAAAGGAAGATAGTCCTACCAAAATATAACATAGATTTGACTTAGATTGAAGGAGAAATGCAAGCCTTCTGAGGTAGTGGTAAATGAGTGACATCTACAAGAAGCATAGATACTCACTAAGTAAAAGAGGGGAGATGTAAATAAAAGGGAGTACAGAGTCTTTAAAGAACTTAAATTATGTTTTATCATAATCGATAAAACATAGTAGAAAGAAAAGAATAGCAGGATAGAATAGAGAGGGAGGCAAAGACCAGACCACACAGTGCAGATCATGTTGGTGTTTAGTCTAATCCTGTGAGTAATGGTGAGTGATTAAAGGGTATAAAACTGTTACAGAATGAGGGAGGGGTGATGTGATCAAATTTTTGTTATTAAAAACATTGCGAGGTAGTGCAGCATGAAGATGCTGGAGGACCCAATGGTGGATGTGGAGGGAACTTTAGTAGGCTATTGTAACCATTCATGTAGTTGGGATTTGAGTGGTATTAGTGGAAATAAGAAGTGAACAGACTTGAGATTTTTAGAAAATGTTTTATACAGTAAAATGTGGTATTAGATCAGACATAGGTGAAGGAGAGGGAAGTCTCAAGGATGACTCCAAATTTTTAAGCCTGTACAGGTAAATAGATGGTAGCTAAAAATTCAGCTCATTTTCCCCCTGATTTTAGTCCATATACTCAGTTGCCTACTGGATATTCCCAACTGCCTGTCTCATTTGCTTATCAAATCATTTATGTCCAAAACTGACCTATTTTTCTGGTATCAAATGTTCCTTTTCCTGTGCCATTTTGGTGAATACCACAACCATCCATAAAATTGCTCAAGCCAGTCGAGTTTGACTCTTCTCTATCATATCCAGTTAATAACCAAATTATATTGGCTTTCTCTTCTTAACATCTTTTATATCTGCCCACATCTCTCTATTTCCATAGCTACTAGCTTAGGTCAGTCTTCATCATCTTTCACCTGGATTTTGGCAATAGTCATTACTCGGCTTCTCTGCTCTCAGTCTCCCACTCCTCTAACCTATTCTTTGCCCTATTGGTGTCCATTTCTATAAAGTAAAGCCTTGGTTCCTTAGTATGATAGAAAAGACTCTCCACTTTCAGGCCCAGCCACATCTCTAGCATTTTCCCTTTAATCTACATGGACCAAACAAATTCCATTTTCTATAAAAGCATATACACTTCTATCCTCAGCTCAAGTGTTTTGAGCTTTGTTTCTTCCTAGTACTGTCATTCTTTTCAAAATACACATCACTGTCCTATTTGCCTCTTCGTGAACTAAGTGGTTTTTGCTGAGAAAGGTCACCTTTATTGCTGGGTGAATGTCTAGGCTAGAAAACTGGTAACATTTTAAAACATTTTTTTTCACAAGGGCAAAAGGTAGAGGCCACCAGTAGTATCTACAAAGTTATCAGCATGTGTTTATTTTCTGCTAACTGAGCATCAAGCTACCAGAGGTTTTAGCTACCAAGAAAGGAACAAAAAGAGAAATCAGAGGCCAAGGGTTGGGGGAAAATCTCGGGAAGGATCACTCACAGGGCGATTGAGAGACAACCATTCAAGAAGTCAACTTCAACCTCTGGCACTATCAGATGTACCGCAACTTTGCACAGGCAGTTTGATACACCCTTAATATTTATAATAAAAAATAACAAAAATTGTGATACATCCCCAATTTCATTAGAATCTTAATGGAATATAGTTGTTTCAATAAGAGCTATAAGAAGAGCTAAGCGACTGCCCTGACCCTGATGAAATATAGATTAAACCATTTTACTGATTTGAGGACAGTACATCTTTTTGAAAAGTATATGCTGAGTTTGAGTTGCACTTGGTGACTTCTTCCTGCACACTAGCTTTACAGTTTGCCTGTGTTAGGATGATTTTGCTTACGAGCAATAGAATCATGCAACACAGAGTGCATAAACAGTAAACAGGTGTTATTGTATCACTTAACCAAGAAGTCCAGAGATAGGGAAGTTCCAGCAGGGCTCGAACTCCCTTTCTCTGTGAGTCTTTTAGTTCTGTCCTGATTGTTTGCTTTATTGTTAGTGCAGCTTCACTCATGAAGCAAGATGGCTACTACAAAATGTCTCACATGCACAGATTGTGATTTCCGGAGCAAGAGGGCATCAGTGTCCCAAGATTCTCAGTTTTTTTGCTGAGCTTCGTGCTCACTAGATCACATCTGAACTAATTCATTAATTCCTGAGAAAGCTTTACGCTAATGAAGAGACTATCTGGTCCCATTACTGTGGCAAGTGGTGGTCAGATTATACCAAGTAGAGTCCACTTAAGATTTGGGAGAGGAGTGGTGTTCGTTATCAGTCCCACATAAACTACATGACTTCTCTAAAATGAAAGATAAAATCCCCCAAAAGAAAACTTTGGAGTTTTTAAGTATTGTGAAGAAGAAAGACGAGTGAATCCCAAGCAAGCAACCAGAGAATGTTAACTACAGACACAGTTCATTAGCAAACTTAAAAATTATTTTGTGCCCTGGGTTTTTAAAGCTACTTGTAAATGTTTGAAAACAAATATCAAGAATTCACTGCAAAGGTAAAGAGAAGGTAAATGCAGTCAGAGCCCAACTCTGAGAAACCCCATTGGTGCGTATGGGTGGTTAAGAACGCTGAATGCTAAGGATGACTCTCAAACCACACGTTCATTTATTCGTTCATAGAACATTTATGGAATATCGATTCCGTGCCAGAAAATGCTTAATACAACAGGATCTTTGACCTTAAGGAGTTCATTCAATCAGGCATTCCAGAATTACAAGCAAAAAAGTCAGCAGTTTTGATATACTATAGTATATCAGAGTGAAAGTAGTATAGTAGAACAGAGTGAAAATAAAACCACATGGAAAACCACAGTCTTCAATATTTCCTTCAAAACTAACACTTGTACAATGCAATCTCCAACATAAAGCAACCTGGGAACACTTATTTTCAATCAACAACTTTCTGAAAATAGTATGTTAAAAGGCAAATGGAAGAATAATTTATCTTACTTTGGTTGTACAGTCTAAGAAAAATAATATGAAACAATTTTTGTTGTTTAGAAACAAAAGTAGATCTTGTCATCTCAGGGACCTTTTATGTGCAAAATGCATTTGATAATAAAGTGAATTCTTTTAAGCTATTATATTCTGTGACCATCTGGGGAAATAGTTTTGGGGATAAATATAGCAGAAATATTTATAAAAAGGACATTAACAAGGAAAAATAGCAGACATGGTTGATTTTCTTTGACATTCTTTTATAGTATAAAATCATGAAATCCTTGGTCCATATCACAGTGACAATGCTGAAAAAAATTCGAATCACTTTATCATTATTCCCAGCAGTGTCCTGGAGCTCCAGTTCTAAAGGCAGGGCTCTCTGTAAGCATCTAACATGAAGATATAACTCAGAGAATTTTTGAAGAAATAGTTTCTTCACATGAAGTATACTTGATAATAACATATTAATGTAATATTGACATTTCTGGTTTTTAACTCTGTTGGGCAGAATCTTGATAGAAAAGAAAATCACTTGTGACAGCTTCAGCATGAGTGTCTAATATCATGGCAATTTAACCTGGTTTATTCTATCTATATCAGAGGTATTCCATCAGAAAAGAACTAAGAGAACTAAAGTGTTGTTCATGTTTTACAGAAGCAAGTCATTTCTAATAAAAAATAATGCTAAAAATTTTTTTAATTGTTAACTATTATTGAGTGAGTATTTGGGGAAATATGGTTGGTTTATTTTTGGAAGTTTTTGGTAAAAAATATACGCATACGCATATATGTACATATATACATATATACACATACATATATATATATATATACACATATATATATAATGTTCCATTTAGACTGAATTGGTGTACTTTGGGCAAACAACTGAGAAGTTGAGCCAAACCATGATATTTGTGATCCATGTGACTTTAATGGTTAAACAAAGGGATTATGTGTTCTCCTGCTACTCAGAGTATGGTCCACAGACCAGCAGCATCAGAATTACCTGAGATCTATTAGAAATGCAGAATCTTAGCCCCCAGCCCCAGAGGTACTGAATCAGCATGTGCATTTTAACAAGATATCTAGGTGATTAAAGTACTAACTAAGTCTAGGGTTCTCAACTCTAGCTACACATTAGAATCACTTAGGGTACTTTTAAAGTGTTTGATTTTCAAGCCTTACCCCAGACTGCTAAATCAGACTCTTTAAGGGGACCAAGGCATGGGTAACTTACATGCTCACCATGATTCCAGTGTGCTGCCAGGTATGAGGACTATGGGTTACACAATGCCCAAACAATCAGTAAATTCAGTGCATTCTGAAAGGGCAAAAAAGAAAAAGGAGGTCAAACCAATTACTTTGTATTTGGTTCTACTCTATTAATGATTGATTTTTTTAACTGTTAATAAGTTGGCTTAGCTACTGTTGAACACAGCCTATTATGTTTCAACCCACCCAAAAGTGTGCTGTTTTTTAAATCAAGAAGAGGAACCGTTTGGTATCTAAATTAATTAAAATGATATTTCAGGTTTGTTTTTCAACTTTACTTTCTTTTGCCAACCTGACAGTTCTAACTGCTGCATCTCAGACACAATGCGTTTAAAGCACTGCACTTTTACGTTGCCCTCCTTCTCGTGCACTCAGTTCTCAGTTTTTACTTCAAACATTCCCTTATCACTGTAGCCCAGACGGATTTTCTCTCCCCTGAATTCCCATGTTGCTGCTATTTCTATCATGCACTCTCACTTTCTGGTCTAGTGTTAGCTCCACTATTTAGTGAAATAAAATTACCTGTTTTTAAATTTCTATATATAATTTCAAGCGTTAATAATTAGTTCCCAAATCTCATGCAGTAATAGGAAAAGAAAAATAAATCATAGTGGAATACATATATATGGTAGTCAGTATTATCCCATTTTATGGATGAGAAAACTGAGTCTCAGAAAGGCCGGGTGGTCATGCTACTAAGTTTCAACACTGATATTTTCCCCAAGAATATCTAACACAAAGTACAAGAGAAAGTTAGGTGCGCTTTCATTTTTATGTGTGTGTTTTCAATATAGTACTTTGATTATAGTTCTCGGGCATATTAAGAATATGAACACACTAAAACATACTGGAAGATGACTCATTCTTAAAAGCAGTATCCACTCATGATTTTTCTTTTTTACACTAAATTGGTTTCTTTTGTTAAAAAATTACTGAAGCTTGATTGATAGAGGCAAGGGAACATCATCATAATGTATTTCTATAAAATCACTTTTTATTACACAAGTAATACCCGAATAACTTTTTCTTATAAAAAATTAGAACTTTATAGATATGATAAAATCTCTTGTCCAACACCCCCCCACAGACATCCTGCACTTTACCCAGTCTATGTATCTTACTCCTTTCTCAAAAGTAATCATTTATATCCTTTAAGCCATTTGTAATATATTTAAATACATATATATGGTATATTATAATAATCTTTGACAATGGCAATTTTTGATATTTTATCATCTAAAAAATAATACTCCTGGGAGTTTCATTTTTATGTCTAATTCCCCACACACATCCTGCACTTTACCCAGTCTATGTATCTTATTCTCTTCTCAAAAGTAATCATTTATATCCTTTAAGCCATTTGTAATATATTTAAATACATATATATGGTATATTATAATAATCTTTGACAATGGCAATTTTTGATATTTTATCATCTAAAAAATAATACTCCTGGGAGTTTCATTTTTATGTCTAATGTGAAAGACCTGGGAAGGATATCTAATTCAGGAGTTGACAGAATTAATATTCAAAATTATTTCTCATTCTTGTGGAATAATACTCTAAAGCTAGAAAGATAAAAATTTAGCTAGCATAAACAAAAGCCCTTCATAAAGTACAAGTAACAAATAGAGAATTCTGATTTGACATTAGTTTATATGAAAAAGACTTAGAGGTTTGTTTATCACAGACTCAAAATTTAATAATAATTCTAATACTTGAAAAAGTCAATATTTCTTAGGTCTAAAATAAGAGTTCTTTAAAAATATCTGAAATAACTCCAGAATATCTAATTTTAGAAAGAAAATACTAGATTAGGTAAACTGTGTATAACATAGTAGACTAATAATTTTTAAATATGGGACTTACTTTGTGACAATATATTCTTTATATATATGTATGTGTATATATAAATGTGTGTGTGTGTGTTTTTCTTTTTCATTTAAAAACAATACCAAGTAAAAGAACATATTTTTTCTTTTGCTTCCTTTGGGTTAAATCCTCTAGTTTTTATTATAGTTCAAGACATTCATTACAGATCAGGTTCAACAATGAGACATTGTAAACGTATTCCTTCTCAATGTGAATGTCTTCTCAAGTAAGTAAGGATCTTATTCTGTGAAATTAACCTCACTCAATGTAAAGCTAATTGTCTATTATGTTAACAAATTTTAGTGAAAAATATTCACATCCAACATTCTTAGCCAGAAACCTGGGATTGGAACATGACATATCAGGGATGTTCCCTATATGAAACACATTTTCCCACGCTAATATCAACCTCTTTGCCTGATTTTTACTTTGACATACATTTTGAGTAAAAATATTCTCCTAACAAGAAAATTTAGAAACTCTTAATCCACTGATTACCTGAAAAGTTTTCCCAGCATTTGTGAATATTTTTTTGTGATTTCAAATGAGTAAGTACTGATTATATAAGGTCCAAGGAAGTATAGATTCTGAGAGATAAATTGATTTTCCCTTCCTAAAGGAAATAGAATATTACATGTATTTGTTATGACCTTGACATCATCAGACATAAATGCCCATGAGTCTTGACCTCTTTTTATTTTTTTTTCTAAAATTAATGTAACCTCTCACATAAACATGTTAAGTATTTTAGAAAATGGAACTCGGACCTAAAGGAAAAGGCTGAATGAATGAAATAAATGTATTGATGTATTTTTAAGAACTCCAAGCCATGATTTTACTTGAATTTATCTATCTGTTCCCTGATGTCCAGATGACAAGGAGATTTAAGGTCTTCACTCTATTATTAGCTTTATTCAGCAATATCAGACCAATAATAGATGTTTATCCACTAGTATGTGTTGCTCCAGATAGGGTAGCTCGTTGTAATTCTCCCCTCCAATTCTCCTGCCCCAAGGAGATATCTATATATCAGATCTGTCTAATTAACCAGTATGTGAAAAATAGAAAATTGTGAGGCAGTCCTTATGCTCATCATCACTGGGCTTTAAAAAGCTCCATAAAATTTCTATCTACATTTTCTTGTTTACACTGTTGAACAACATGGATCAAACAAGCAAAGATTTGTGGCAACAGAGTTGAGGCCTTTGTACAATATAACACATATTGCGAATCAAAGAAATATCGTGCCACTTCTCTGAAGCTGACATTGGAATGACATTGTAATCCTGGCCATCTGTCTTCCTCCTCTAGATGTCGATGAATGTACGGTGGTGAATGGAGGCTGCCAGCAGAGCTGTATTAACACTCTGGGCACCTTCCACTGTGAATGTGATACTGGATACAGACTCCATGCTGATGAACGCACCTGCATAAGTGAGTAAATATTAGGACCAGCTTGAAGCCATTTTCAGTGAAAATCAACCTGCCCATGTAGGCGCAGGAAGGAAAGGTTTTTATATTGTAAAAATATCTATAGAAGCTGACAGTTTTCAAGTACAATCCCATCTTAGAATAAAAAGGATTTTTTTATATATTAAAAACACTAAAGGACAAAAAAAGATGGGGAAGGAAATATAGACATTAACATTCACAAACAAAATTTGAATCTGTAAACGGGTGACTATTTCCATAGCATATCATTCTGCCATATGCATGCAGTACAAATTTTTTACATCTTGTTTATAAACAACAAAGATATCACAGGAGCCACAATGAAGAGAGGATGCTGGGCCGTTACAATCACTAGCTACAACGTTCACTCGTTTCAGCCCAGACTCAGAACTGAACTATGGTTATAAAAGCAAAAACTATAATAGATTATATGCCAAGTAGTTTAGAGTTGCTCAAGAATAGTTCAAACTACACGCATTAGATATAAGGTCACTATATATGTATTGTGCATTAAAATGTTCTTAGATATTTTTATGTGGTAAGATTATTGTTTTAAATCTTCTTTGTATGTTTCTGAATTTTATAAATTTCTTAAAATGAGTATGTGTTTTTATATACAGAAGAAAAGACCCAACATAATAAATTCTTAAAATATTATACTCCCTGTATGATTTATAAATGTTCTTTTTTGTTTTAGCTGAAGTAATTTACATAAAAGTATATTTTTTGTTTCATCACCTAGTCCCTTTTAAAAATGTTTATTATATTAAGAGTAGCACTTTATACAGCACAATTTAATTGCTGGTTTAATTTATTTGAGGCTTGTCAACTAGTCCATCTACTTAAAATTATTAGTATTTTCTAAGTATTCTCTAATTATGAAACTTGGAATAGGAATCAGCTAATTTCACCTAATTTCATAACATATACTTCCTCTTTCTTTTTCTGAACACGTCTTCTAGGAAATGAGAGAAGGCCAAGAGAAACAGCTAAATATATCCTAGTCAGAGGTCTGATTTTGATGAGAGAAAATGGAGGTTCTGGGAAGAAAGAAAGGACATTTCTAAAGGTGAAGGAAATGCAGATAGAAGTCATACCCTAAAGTCCAGGGAATTCAATATCATATTGATTGTATCTGCAGCAGGCGCAAGTGATGGGACATGCATAGTTACATAATCCAGATACCCTTTTCTTTTAGTAGGATTACTGGTTTCAGCAATAAGAATTCCTTCCCCATCCCGTCTCCAACCTGTCAGGTCTTCAGCTGGTAACATTCTTAAACTTCCACTATCACTTCTCTCAGTTATAAATATTGAGGAGCAGCAAGATTATCGATAACATGCAATTATAGTATTTATCAGTAAAGGTTGAGCTGATGAATTTTTGTGTTCAATATAAAAATATTTTGCAAAGTAATGAGATATATATATAAATCTGTGCTATCTGGTCTTTGTGATAAGGCAAAAATAAATACTCTAGTAGCCAACAAAATTACATTTATAGGTAAAATTAATTTTCTAAACCCTGGTAGTTATTAGCTATTTCTTAGTAAAATCATTAAGCTCTTTCTTTTTTCCTCACCATCACTACCCTTGAATTTTTCAATTTTGTTTTAATGACACCAGGTCAAAAGCGGGGTTAGATAAGGATATTATGGTTTATCTTTTCTATTTCTATTCCTTAAATCTCAATTCATATTATACAAATACATTGACAATAAAGTAATTTATTCACAGTCCATCTAGTAGTCTTCTAATACAGAATTTTGATATAATGTACAAATTAAACTATATATGCAGAGGAATTAAGATTATGACAAATAAAGCATTTAACACCTTGGATGTCATTCTATAGAAGGTAATGGAAGAAGAGCCCAGAACTTGACATTCATGGAAATTTTGATAGCTTTCTTATATGCATATATTGAAGTTTGGGTTTCAAAGAATGGTCTTAAGAATCTCAGTTGACACAATACTAGCAGTCTTGTTAAAATGAGCTCAAGAAGAATTTAAACCGTTTGTATTTAAAGATTAATAACCTGGGCCTGGGGATAGCTACTGTTTGTTTGCTTATTTGTTTTGAAGGAAAGGTTTTACTTAGAGAACTGAGTTTGACATTGGTCTGTATTTTGACTTATATTGTAGAAAGGGTCAGATATTTTCAAAAACAGGAAAATTAAATTCTATCACTTTCCCTTTGAGATTTCTTTACCTTGCAGGAGACTGAGAATTATAGTAGACAGAAATTCATTGTGATCCATAGTAGAGTCACAGAAGAGAAGATGGAGTTCTAGAATTTTATGATTCCACCACTTTGGAGTACTTGGAATTAATTTTTTCCTTCTTCCCTTTCTTCTTTTTCCTGCATTTCTTCCTTCCTCCCTTTCTTCCTTTATCCCTTTCTGCCCATTAGTCATAGGTCTACACACTAGTGTGACTTTTTTAATTAGAGCCTCCAGTGCTTTTTACACTTTATTTTAATCACAACTACAGGAAAGTAGACTCTCTGCACCCCTACTTACTGCGTTTCAGATGATTTCATTTCAAAAATGGGGTCCCTCTCTGAGAGCTGTGCATTCGTGATAATATATGGACAGAAGTTACTAGTCAGCCTCTGCCAGAATTATTAAGTTGCACAATGTGGTATAAGAGATATGGTCCCTAATAGCTGGCTGGAGTGGCAGGAAGTATAACAATTCCTGGCCCACTGCCACCTTTCCTGAAAGGCAACCTCAGGAAAGCCAGTCTGAGGAGCCATCCCACGTGTGAGGAGGGTCACAGCAAGTGAAACCTGCTGCACCTAGTTGGTGGCAGGGCACAAACATAGCATGGAAAAGCAGACAAAAGTAGAATTCTTGCCAAATTTGCTTTGCTATTGGTGGTCTCCATTAACACAGATATTAATCTCATAATTCATGTACTTTTAAATTTCCCTTTATGTGTAAACCAACAGCTTAAAAAATGGAAACTAGATTTAGCAATCATCAAAAAAACAGATGTTATGTTTTTATTGGTCCACCTTAAATCTTGTCCCTGTGGACTAGGGACAGTGGCACAGTGGAATCCAAGTTGGTAGGTGGCCTTCAGCTTAAGTTCTTAAATCACTTAATCTCTCTGCCCCTGCTTTCCTCATGTGTAAAATGTAGAAATTTGACAAAGTGATGTTAAAGTGACTGCATCTCTAAAATATAACAATTTTTATGGAGTTTCCATAATTACTAATTCTTTATAAATCATCTGCTAGCCTGAATTTTTTAAACCTCCATTGGATTAAGTGCAATAATTATTTTAAAAGTGTTTTAAAAATTTAGACTTTAGAAAGTCCAAGCATAAAATCAGAATGTGAGGATTTTATATTCAGTTTAATAAAAATGGAATTTAAGTGTTTTTATTGGGAAAAGTATACTTTGGTGCTTTTGTAAAAATATTGTTTTGTATATTATAGGATCATATCTAGGAGAAATCCAAGGAATAATCTAGCCTAGTCTACTACTTCAGAGATAAAAAGTATGAGAGCTAAGGAGATCAAGTAACTTTTACTCTGAAAAAGAGAAAAGTAGTTTTCAGCTAAACCTGGCTAATGTCCCTCTAATCAAATGCTTTAAAATGATTTTGGATAAATTAAAAAAAAAAATAGACTAAGAAAAATCATAAAGGTACTATGAAATGAAATTCTTACACTCTATTGTAGTAAATAGAGTTGAGGGTTAAACAATGTATTTTCATAATAGCTATAGTTTCACCTTATATTATCAGTCTATAAGTGCAAATTTACCACTTCTCTCCTAAATTTCTATGATATGCTCCAACGAGCCTGGCTACTCTCAATTCTCCAAGTAAGCCATGCTCTTCTACTGCCACACCTTATTTTGCTCTTAACATAGACTCTCACTCCTAAGTCTTTGTCTGTCAAAACTCTCCTTAACATGTTTCATGTTGAATGTTGGTTGGCCTGTTAAGTCTTCTCTGGTTACCCTAGCCAAAGGCATTCTGTCTGTCTGTCTGTCTCTCTGTTTCTCTGTAATACCTTATAATTTTGTGTTGTCTTAATGACACATTATAACATAAAGTTTTATACATGTGTAATTGGACCTCAGAACAAATGAAGGACATTGATGGCTTCGTAATTATCATCTTCAAGTGGAGCCTTTTCCATACCTTTCTTGATGGCCGCAGACACTGGTAACCCCTTGTTTTTTTAAATCTTCCTCTTGACTTTCTGACAGCACAATTTCTACCTCTAACTGCTGCCTCTCCATACTTATATCCTGGTTACCACTTTGAATCATCATCTTCTCTCCTTCCTACAGACTGAATTGTGTCCCCTCAAATTCGCATATTGAAGCCCTAAGTCCCAATGCAATAGTATTCAGAGATGGGGCCTTTAAGAGATAATTAGGTTTAGATGAGCTCATGAGGTTGGAGCCCTGATAATGGGATTAGTGCCACATAAGAAGAGACACTAGAGAACTTGTTCTCTCACTCTGCCATGTAAGGAGGAAGTGAGAAGATGATCCTCTGAAGCCAGGAGGAGGACTCTCACCAGAAACCAAACTCTTCTGGAACCTTGATCTGAGCCTCTCTAGCCTCCAGCATTGAGAGAAAATAAATTTCTGTCGACTGAGCCATCCAGTCTTTTGTTATGGTATTTTGTTATGGAAGCCTGAGTAGACTAATATACTCATCTGTTCTCTTTATTCACTCCTTCTCTAGTCTATCTCCACTTTGTTTTTCTTTTTTTAGAAATAAAACAATCCATGTAAAATATCTGTCAAAGTATTAATTAAATATTAGCTAGTATTATAACAGTATATAAAAAAGATATGAGAATTTTACCCAGATAGATTTCCTTGTTGGGATAAAATTCAAACTTGTTACAGTATTTCTATCTTTAAGGCCCTAGCCAGTATTCTTTATTACAAAATATATTATCTTTTGATAGCCTTTAATTGGTCATTTTCTCATTGTTGCAAGCAATTTTTG